CAATTACCTCAGCTTATAAGGCACTGAACTGTCATTATGAATCAAATTGTAACCAAAAAAGGTAATTCTTTGCTGAAAGTATAATAAGACAATTCTACAAAGATTTATGGTAATAACTTTGGGTGATGTACTTCTCTTTTCAGCAGTTAAAATGGAAGAAAAGCTGGTCAGTGAAGAATTGCCTTATTTCTTTTTAGTGTCATGGACCAACTTCCGGATGGACCAATATTTATTATTATGTGTTTTCTAGTGAGGGTAATAGATGCCATAGGCTTTGGAGCAGCAATCACTGCCTCATCTTCCATCCTCACAAAGGCTTTCCCAAATAACGTGGCAACTGTATTGGTATGTAGTCTATGAATTCATGTTTTCTTTTGTGTGTATGGAGAAATATTTTTTTGAGTTTCCAAGGTAAAGCTTGGGGTGCATTCTTCTATATCTGCTTTTCTTCATTATTTTGTGTCTTTGTTAACTCTTACTCTGATTTCTACTTCTAACAAGAAAGCTGTCAAAAAATTGCGCCATTAGTGGCACTTAGCTGCTCCTCCTGGTCGTAGAAGTCCCTGAACGGGCAGTTTAACAGGTAAATGTGGTCCAGCCAGCTCTTCCTTTTACCACTTTAATTAAAATCTCCTAAATAGTATTTTGTTGTCTCCTTTTGGCCTAGATTGTGGCTGAGCTGCCTGAAGCGTTTCTCTGCTTTAGAAGAATGATCCCTGGTGGTAAAATACTTAATTTATGCTAGAGTACTTCCTCCAGTCTCCCCAGGTGCTGGCCCGGAAGAGGTCTTGGAGATACCTTGAGGTTTTAAGTGGTTCTGTGTTGTCTGAGGAGCACACTCTTGTTTTGACATAAAGATCCAGAACCGGGTGGCACCGCACCAGTGTACTTTCTTATATATTTCCCTGATGCACACAGACCTGGTGTTGGTGACACATCCGATTCCTGTCCCAGTCCTGTCTCCCCAGGGTCCTGCGTCTCTAGACCCGTGGCCTGCAGAGCAGACCAAACGCCACCTTCATAGTGCACAGTTGTTTGCTAGACTTCAGTCTAATCATCTTGGTACCAAGGACTCCCTCATTCACTCGTTTGTTACAGTACTCAAAATGTTTTACCATTAAGTGAGTTATTTTCTGTGTGAACAGCTTTTGCTTAAGCACCTATCCGTCTTGCTGGATAGGTTCATTTCAGGTTCTGTAGCCATTTGACACTGTGGTAGCCATGATGACAGGCACATCACTTACAGCACCCCGAAGTCTGTTTCTCAGAAGGGGTTCAGAAGGACACTGGTGTGGTGACATGCTCTGTAAAGCAAGCCTTTGTGGCCAGGCAAGCTCTGAGTGCACCGTGTGCTGCCTTCCAACCTGGTGATGTCCATTTCACCTTCGCATTTGAAGGCGCAGAGGAATCCCGGAGTACAGAGAGCTGATGAAGTGCTCCACGGCTCACTCTGACCATGGACCTGCTCTGTCAGCGAGACCTCTGGAGCAGCTGGTGTTCTAAGAGAACTCAGGGAGGTGCTGCCCAGGAGATTCCTGGGATGTGGCAACAGAACTCTGGGTTTTCTGCTCACAGTGGAGTCTAGTGTTGCCATACGGACTCCCTATATAAAATTGCAGCCAGAAGCTCACACTGCAAATGTGTTAGTTCACCGGAATGGCCTTGCTGAGATTAAAGCTAGAATTCCTGTATCCTTTGGGAGATTTTGGAATTTATTAATGGAGTTCTTATTAATGTGAGGCCGGAGAATGGAAAGTTCAAGCCACAGGTGTGTGTTTGTTCCAAGCCCCTAAGAGCTAGATTTATTTAAAGTACTACAACTTCTTTCATAATAAACTACTCTTTCCATAGCACTGTTTTGCTTATTTTAACTTTAGTTCACTCAATAATTTTACATGGAACAAAATTTAAAAATACAGAAGGTAACAGAAGACCTAATAAATATATTTGACATATTGATGTTGCACAGCTTTATGCAGTCTGGTGTGAGGTTCCCAGTCCTCTACCCGCTATGGGAAATCCACAGATCTTACAGGTTTATTCTAGAGAGATTCCATATATGTACATGTGAGCACACACATGTGCACACAGACACACACTGGCAGCATGATGTCCCGCTCCTGTTTTTTTCTTTGTACAAATGATACCACCTATCCCAGTCATTCACCACCTTAATGATTACGTTAACGAGGACGTAATATTAGGGATCAATATTACTGCACCTACATTAGTAAGAAAAGTTGTTTAGTCTTCTTTATTTTACTGTATGGATGTAACCTAGTTTATTTCAATTCTTAATGGGTATTTAGATTGTTTGCTTCATTTGTCATTATAAATAGTGCTACAGTGTATAAGCTTGAAT